ATCAGGTAGCTTCTTCATCTATTATTAGTCTAATCTTAATGTATGTCACTGCTTATATCCCTCCTCACAATAATTGTGTATATGACTTGTGGTTGTTGTTATTGTGTGGTGTCAAGTTGGCTCCAACTCTTAGTGACCACATATAGGGTTTCTGCAGAGCTGCGGGTGAGCTTGAACCGCCGAACTTGCAGTTCAAACCTAGTTTGCAGTTCAAACCTAATACACTTTTCAGCACATTAACCCACAGCACCACACCAGAACTCCAGAACTTATCTGGCCTATACTTACTAATTGAATCAATCATACCTGCAAGCAGATTTCTACACACACAGGAAATTGATTAAGTACAAAAGTTTTCCAAAGTTTAATACCTATTCTTCAAAATGAATTTCTGACATAATACCTTCTCATAATAATAATAATACCCAAATAGTGTATTATTCAAATACAAAAGTTAATTGAATAAATAGTTTTAGGAAAGCTAGTTTTTAAAGGGAAATTGTCAGAATGCTTACCAAATTCAAGGATGCATTTTTTATTATCTCTTCTGATTAAAATAGTTAAAGTTATATAGAAATATTTAACTCTACAGTTTTATGCTATGCACATCACCGAAACATTGCAAATAATGTACCAATATTAATGTGTTATTCCTTTAAAAAATTTAGCTTATAACACTTTGAATAATTGGCAAATTATCTCTGTATACTGTCTTGTTTTGTTTTGTTTTTAAGATTTTAGCTCAGGGAATTTTTTCCTCTCCAGTGAAGTCATAGAAAAAGATAAGAAGAGTTTATCAGGATAGGAGCCATCTCTGAGTAGGGCTCTTCAGGGAGATCTAGATAAAAAAGGAATAAGCAGAGAGGAAGCTTTAGCAATCCTACTAGAAAACTATGATTTAATGAAAAAGCGTTCTTGGAATTTAAAGATTAGGTAAAAATAGAAGCGACTTGTCACTTCTTTTCAGCCGGTGTGCTAATCAGACAGATGGGCCTTATACTCCAGCTGGATAATCCAACCTCTCAGGACCTATTTTCAACCTGCTGCACAAAGAGTTTTTCTTTCTTTCTTTCTTTTTAAATATTAATCAGCAGATTAAATCGTCCTCATGTGTAGACACAGGTAGTTAAATATATCCATGTGTCAACATTTATTTCTGTATGATGATAAAAATGGTAATAGGTGTTTCAAGTGAATTGATCATCCTTTTATTAGTTGAAGAGTTTGAATGTCACATTTAAATGTTTATTTTTATTTATTAATAAATATTTACATAGATCAAATTTATAATAATGATTTAGTAAACTCTTACCAATCCAACATCAAATTTGGAAATAGTGTGGCCCATATGTCTGAATGTATGGAATGTCAAGAAAGAATGTGCCCTTAGGTTAAGTAAATGATTATATATTCCTGAGTGTTTTTGTGTACTTTAAAAAATAAAAATAACAAAAAATAACACACAAACAAAAAAAAAAGAACAGAGGCAATAGAAGCAAATGCTGTTGGATGATGATGCATGGAGGGGATTATAATCATTTCAATGAAATAAAATACAATAGGATGAGTGTAAAACCAATGTTCTCCCATATAAACTATCACTCAGTTCACAATAAAAACTTAAAAAAACAAAAAACAAAGTGACTTACTAGAAGAAAGTGGGTGGGAGGAGCCATACTTACATAGTGGAGAACTCTGTTGAATTATTGACCATTCAGAATAGTTTATATTCTTTGAATACTTACAAATATTTTTGTTGTCAACGCACTGCCATCAAGCTGCTCCTGACTCTTAGTGACCCTATAGAACAGAGTAGGAGTGCTTCATAGGGTTTCTAAGGCTGTAAATCTTTTAGGAAGAAGACTGCCAAATCATCCTCTTAACTTTTTAGTTATCAGCTTAAACACTATGCCACAGGATTCACTATATTGAATTCACATTTAAATCTTAACATTATTTTTCCACTTAAATTTTAAAATAATTTTTCCATTCTTTTTTTTATAGCCCTGTTAATGTTGAGAACTATAATGTCAATATAATTAGTGTTCTCTTATAGATAGTTCTTTCTTTATGGAAGTTAAAAACCAACAAACAAACAAAAAAAAAAACAACTGTAGTCCCTTACCTCTTTAAATGTCACTCTGTCCAAATAATCATGTATTTCTCTTAGACTTTGTTGTTGTTGTTACATGTTCTCAAATCAGTTCTGACTCAAAGCGACCCTATGCACAACAGGATGAAACATTGCCTAGTCCAGCACCATCTTCACAATTGAGCCCATGGCTTCGAATGAGCACTCTAGCAGTACTTCTTCCAACACAGACCTGTGTTCTTCTGACAATCTATGGTACCAATACCATTCTTCTCCAACTTCATAACTTAAATGCATCAATTCTTCTACAGTATTCCTTATACAATGTCCAACTTTCACATGCATATGAGACTTTTGAAAATGCCGCAGCTTGATCCTCAAACTGACATCTTTGCTCTGGAACACTTTAAAGAGGTCCTGTGTAGCAGATTTGCTTAATGCAATATGTCGTTGGATTACTTGACTGTTGTTTCCATGGTTGCTGGTGGTGGAAGCAAACAAAATGAAGTCTTTGACAACTTCAATCTTTTCTCCATTTATTATGATGTTACTTATTGGTCCAGTGGTGAGAATTTATTTATTTTTTCTTTATTATATTAAGGTGCAACACATACTAAAGGCTGTGGTCTTTGATTTTCTTCATTAAGTATTTTAAGGCCTCTTCACATTCAGTAAGCAAGGTTATATATTGCAGGTTGTTAAAGAGTCTTCATCCAATATAGATGTCACATGCTTATTCATATAATCAAGTTTCTCAGATTGTTTGCTCAGTGTGCAAATTAAATAAGTATGGTGTAAATATGGTAGAAGAATAAGCCTGGCATACAGCTTTCCTGAGTTTAAAAATTCAGTATGCCTTTGTTCTAGTTTACAACAGCCTTGTGGTCTATGTACAGGTTCATCATGAGTACAGCTAAATGTGCTGGAATGCCATTCTTCGCAATGTTATCCATATCTTGTCATGATCCACATTGTCCAAAGCCTTTGCATAGTCAGTAAAGCAAAATAAACATCTTTCTCGTGTACTTAGCTTTCAGTCAAGATCCAAATGGCATCAGTAGTGATATCCCTAATGACAACATTAGGGGTATCTTAGACCTCAATTTGACATTTTTTGTATCCTTTCAACACCATTCATCTGTCATTTCGTCATCCTGTGGTGCTCTGTGTATTGCTGTGATATTGAAAGCTATTCCACTGGTATTTTGAATGCCAGCAGGGTCACCCATTGTGGACAAGTTTTAGCGGAGATTCCAAACTAAAAAAAACTAGTAATAATAAGAGGCAGACAACTTCCAAATATTTAGCTACTGAAAACCTTATGAACATCAAGGGAAACTGTCAGGTATCCCCAGAATATTCATTAATTAAATATGATGAATAGCACCAGAAAATACTGTCAGATATACTGCGGAAAATGAGCCACCTCAGTTCAGAAGGCACTCAAAATGAGACTGGGGAAGAGGGGCCTCCTCAAAGTACAGTTGATCATGAAAACTTGAATGGAATAAAGCTTCTGGCACCTTAATTTTCTGATGGAGCACCACTAACTTGAGGAGAAACAATTGCGAACATCCATTAATAATCAGAACATGGAATGTATGTATGACATATGAATATAGGAAAATTGGAAGTTTCCAAAATTGAAATGGAACGCATAAAGATAGATATCCTTGACATTATTGAGCCAAAGTTTACTTTTGTTGTTGTTGTTAAGTGCCATCAAGTCGGTTCCGACCCATAGTGACCCTGAATAGGGTTTCTGAGGAGCAGCTGGTGAGCTTGAATCACCAGCCTTGCAATTCAAACGGCTTTGCAGTCTGGTGCATTAACCCACAGCACCACACCAGGACTCCGTGTACTAGTATTGGCAATTTTAAATCTGACAATCATATGGTTTACTATGCTGGGAATGACAAATTGAAGAGGAATTTTCATCATTCATCATAAAAAAAATAAAAAAAAAAATTCAAGGTTTATCATAATGTGTAATGCTGCTGTTGTTAAGTGTCTTCAAGTCGGTTCTGAGTCACAACAATCCTCTATAGGATTTTCAAGGAGTGGCATGTGAGTTCCAACCATGGACGTTGTGATTCAAACTGACCTTGTGGTCTAGTGCTTATTCTACTACAAAGCACACCAGTTATTCCACTGCAAGTCTCACAACTACTATTGTTCATATTTACTCACCAACCACTAAAGCCAGTAATGATGAAATTGAAGAATTATACCAACTTCTTCAGTTTGAAATTGAACAAATATGGACTCAAAATATATTGATAATTACTGGTATAAAGAGGAATGATCAGTAATTTGAAAATATGGTGGTGTTAATAATAGAAATTATGGTGGCAATTGTGCGACAGAATTTTGAAAGACCACTGCATTCTTCATTGCAAATACCTTTTTTAAACAACATAAAATACAATTATACATATCACTAGATAGGATACATAGCAATAAAACTGACTACATTTGTGGAAAAGGTTGGAAAAGCTCCATATCATCATCAAAAACAATGCCAGGTACAGACTGAAAAACAGACTATCAATTGCTCATACGCAAATGCAGGCTGAAGCTGAGGGAAATTAAAAGAAATCCATGAGAGACAAACTATGACCTTGAACATACCCCATCTGAATTTAGAAATCATGTAAAGAACAGATTTGATGCATAAGACACTAATGAGATCAAACCAGAAGAGTTCATCAAGAACCTCATATATGAAGCAAGCAAAAAGTCATTAAGAAGGTAAGAAAGAAAGAAAATACCAAAACAGATATCAGAAGAGACTCTGAAACTTACTCACCAGTGTAAAGATGCTAAGGCAAATGGAAGAAAAAATGAGGAGATAACAGCTGGACAAAAAATTTCAAAAGGCAGTTCAAGAATGAACCTTCAAGGAGCTAATTGGGAAGGTGGCGGCGGATCTGGGACGCGATGCCTTACGCCAACCAACCCACGGTGCGGATCACGGAGCTTACAGATGAAAATGTCAAATTCATCATCGAGAATACTGACCTAGCGGTGGCCAATTCCATTAGGAGAGTCTTCATCGCTGAGGTGCCCACCATAGCCATTGACTGGGTGCAGATTGATGCCAATTCCTCAGTCCTGCATGATGAGTTCATTGCTCATAGGCTCGGATTGATTCCCCTCATTAGTGATGACATTGTGGACAAGCTGCATAACTCCCGGGATTGCACGTGTGAAGAGTTCTGTCCCGAGTGCTCAGTGGAGTTCACCCTGGATGTGAGGTGCAATGAAGACCAGACTCGCCACGTCAC